CTGCCCCTTAAATATATTGAAACGTGAAATAGAATTGTAATTGCCTGTAACATGTCGCCATTATTACGATTTGTCGTATGGACGAAAAAGGAAGTTAGATAATGAAAAAATACAAAATTCAAAACCATTAAAACTAAATGAAAATATACTTAAAATTGACAAGACAGAAACAAAATCTGAATCAAAAGAAAAGAGGTAAACTGAGACGACGAGAAAGAACAATGCAATGACAATACACGTGATAAATGTGTAAACTCAATGAGGAAGAACATGTTGATATGCAAATTAATTTTTTGATTTAATATCTAAGTAAAGGTGCTCCTGAGGATTTCAAGGTCCTTAGAATCTCAGCTATCAAATTCAAAGACTGAGCTTGAAAAGAGACATATAAGGTGGGATTCTAAAGTCACCAGCATATGTTTATCGTTGTACTGTAGATCTCTCCAAGTCTAACAGGATTCAAACAAATCTAGCATGCTTATCTTGCCTTCAAAGTGACTCCTACAATACCAGAAAAACTTAGCGCAACAGGCACCTGGACTTGTAGAGATGAATTTGCAATAAATAACACAGAGACAGAAAAGAAATATGCCCAGGGACATAGCAGGCATGGAGGCATATGAAATGCCAAGATGACCTTCAGATCCTTAAGACTCGAGATACTTGGTCTATTGTTGGAAATGTTGATATGGGCAAATTAACCAAACTAGCCAAATTGATACCATTATCAATAATGCACATAAGGTTTCAATGGTCACACACTGTTTACAGTATGCGTTTTATGGTTTCACGGGATTTCGGTGGCCAGTCGCATATTATCGGTCTGAAACTGAATGACCTTTTCAAATATGCAATACATGTCCTGAAAAAAGTACGAAATAACATGTCTAGTCGTGATGAAAACATATATGAACCGGGCCGCTTTCTAATAACAAATTCCATCCAAGTAATATGAAAACACTGGGAAGAGGCATTTAAATGCAAAATACATGACGGGTTTCCTATTCATAAGAGTCTGATAGAGGAGCATTTTTGTGTAACTCCAGTTTCAAAAATGAAAAATAAATCAGCTTTAGAAATACTCACCAGTGGAAAGCGGTACTTGATGAAATGTTTCCAAAGTACTTTGGAAAATCCTGCTAGATGGGCATCCATTATTGAACTCTTTGAGAACTCTCTAATACTTGTTGACAAAAGACCAATGACAAACCTCCAAGACAACCGATTTAAAAAATTGATGGATGTGCTCACCTTCTTTAACCAGTGGGAAATCGAAATAACTGAATGTCAAATTTACAATTCTGTCAAAAACATTATGAAATCCGAAACCAGAGAAGATTTAGTATTCAGAATTTATATTACTGTGTGAATTATCAATTATTCATAATAGCTGCATAAACCCTGGTTATCGGAACTCTGACTTGATAGAGAACAATGTCTGTCAATAAAGAGGGATTAAAAAGTAAGCCCACACTAGCCCATCCAGTTCAGATAGCCAAATGTCTTGGAAAAAATCTCTGTCATCGAAATGTAACTCTGTTTGTTGATTTTGACTGTTTATCATTAACTGTGTACATGCATTTCGGGTGAAACACAATAACGGGGACTTTTACAATTGGTTTTTGTTATGTAAGCTCTACAGCTGACTTACACTTAGAAGGAAGCCAGTTTCCTGTTTTTAATATTTGAAATTGAATTCTTTAGTTTAACCCAAAACTTTGAGATTCTATCTTGGTAATTTTCAGACGTTATATGGTTGCATTTAGAAATTTACATTATTTTTACCTTTAGAAGCTTTTAAACAATACTCGCAAGGAAAATAATCTGCAAGATATTTTAAGGAACAGTTATCTTTTTTCTTCAACGCAAAAAAGTAAAAAAAAAAAGAAGCCAAAATACCGCCAATATTCAAATGTTTTAACAGATAGTTTGAAAACAGTTGTCTGTTTAGAGAAAGGAATGGTTGAAGGCCGTACTTTGACATATAATTGTTAACTTTTTATGTGACTAGGATGGAGAGTTGTCTCATTGGCAATCATGCCACATCTTATTTATATTTATAATTGAACACAAATCCGAAAACATAGATAGTTTTATGAAAACGCTTACTGAAATAGAAAGGATCGTAAATGAAATAAGCTTACGGAATACAAAAACAGAGAACAGTGTGTAAGGTTTGAGTTCTGTATATATTTTCCGACCTAGACTATCAAAGTGAAGAAAAAATTGAGGAAAAAGCTAGAAGTTTTTTGTATTATGAACTTAAAATTGATAAAAAAAAAAAAGAATTCGGAAATAGTCACAGATTTAAAAAACCAGAACTAAATGGCACACGACCGATCGTAGTAAACTTTGTTTATTGGAAAGATCTCGGAACAGTCCTTAATAGAGCATACATCTAAAAGGGAAACCATTCGGTATCAAGGAGCAATTCCCAGGCAAAGTCGAGGCAAGACGCACGAAATTACGGGGTATATCCAGTTATGAAGAAGGCAGGACAAGACAGGAAACAAGCGAACCTTGTTATAGATAAATTAGCCATCGACGGAAAGGAGTTCATTGCCGAACCGGAAAAAAAGCTGTATTAAGCGTCAGTGACATTATTAACAAACACATTCAAAGTCCACCTACACCACCAATATTAGAAAAAAGCGCAAGAAGAGACTCAAATGACCATAACTCTCTTAAAAACTATCATGTCATTTAACAATCTTTCTATCAAAATTGGAAACATTCCCAGAAGCACTGGGGGAAGGAAGTAGGACAGGTCAACAAAAGTAGTCAACTATCGGGTTGTAAATATTCATTATATAAAATTGTGTTGTCTAAATGTTTGTGGGATCAAGCCAAAATTACTATTTCAAGATTTTGAAGTTTTAATAACATCACATGATATCTTAATTTTATTTAGAAACAAAACTAGATGTATTTAGATATATTAAACTTTGCAAGTGGCTATAATTATATTTTTAAATGTAGAAATAAGTTTCGTAAAATGTCTGTGGTATAACTGAAGTTGATGAACCAAGTTTATGGCAAAGAATGTCTCGTCCTTTTTCTAAAAAAAGTTCATCGGAAGATACCAATACCTTATTGATAAATATTCTGCATCAACTTCACAAATAGTACATGATGGTCTTGAAGTATAGATTCTAGATACTGACTTTGTTTATAATCTTAATTACGTGTTATAGTGGTCTTTTTATTTGTAACCTTTACTGTTTAGGCAATTTTTGTTTATATCCTTTTGGCGTGGCTCGGTATTTATACATACCGCCATTGTGTTATTGTGCTATGGTCATTTTTTTGTATTCTTGTCTTTCATTTTTGTCTATGTGCTTTGTCATAAGAGTGTCTACATGTCATTTTGTATTTTCTTTGTTGACATAGTTGTTTGTTTTATAGTGATTAAGATTATATTACACTGTTGACTGCTGTACCCCAATTTTTGACATTTTTACCTATTATGTCTGTTTGTTTTATTCACAAATTGTTATCAATATAATGGAATTTGATGAGACTGTCATACAAGTGAGAAGTTTAGCTAGCTATAAAACCAGGTTTAATCAACACTTTCTACATAAGGAAACGCCTTTATCAAGTCGGGAATATGACAGTTGTTTTCCTTCGTTTGATGTGTTTGAGCTTTTGATTTTGCCATTTGTTAATGGACTTTCCGTTTTGAATTTTCCTTGGAGTTAGGTATTTTTGTTATTTTACTTTTTAAAAGAGTTTGAAAACTGTTTAAATTTCCTAAAACAGATTCTGAAAATGTACAATGGGTTAAATTTTTTTGAGATCTTTTAGAAGATGAGTTTTGTTATGGTGTGTATATATATCTTCAGATAATTCAAAGTATTCATCCGTAGATGACTTTTCTGATGTAAAAAATGGATTTATTTCTTTGTTGGATAGTGATAACAGATAAGCACTGGTTGGTGATTTTCATGCTAGACTTTTGTAGTCCTAATGATAACTTTTTACAGATTATGCACATTAATAGTGACGAAAAAAATTGGAAATTTTTTCATGACCATAATAATCATGTTAAAACCGGAATATCAGTGCACAGTGTAGATTTAGACATTACACTTTCGGACATAGACTTTTGGAACTTTATAAGAAAAATAATTGATAAATTGAAAACTCTGGAGTAGATAGTGACAACTATATAGAAAATGTTACTTTTAATGATACAAGTGTGTAGTATATTAAGTATTGTCTGATATTCTATAATGATACGTTCTGAGTAGTGCTGTGGCTGTTCTGTACGATCTGTGACTGTATGAAAAGTACCCGTTGGGTACCAGGGATTCTGATTGTAAACGATGCTGAATAAACATGTCTTCTCTAATGTATTTCGTTAAATCGGCCTGATACATATAAAACATGAGCCATCAACACTACAATTGGCGACGAGGATAAAGAAGAAACATTGAACTTTAATGTGGTAAGCTGATTTTTGTGAAATGGCAGCTAAAATCGATTTAAATCCAGTTGGAAATTTCGATGTCAGTGGAGATAGACTCGGACAATCATGGACTCGGTGGCTGAGAAGTTTTGAACTTTATGCAACAGGAAAAGGTGTATCCGACAAGAAACAAAAGAAAGCATTATTATTACACTGTGCAGGACTCGATGTACAAGATATATACTTCACATTAACGGAGGAAGATGGTGACGACGATTTTGATAAAACGATCAAAACATTGAAGAAACATTTTGATGCCAAGGTAAATTTTTCAGTAGAACGTTATAATTTTAGAAGTATCAAACAAAATGAAACAGAAACAATAGATCAATACATCACAAGATTGAAACAACAAGTAGTATTGTGTGATCATGCAGACCCCGACGCACAAGTAAGGGACCAGGTCATAGAAAAATGTCGTTCTAATAAATTACGTACTCGACTTCTTGAAAAGGGACCAGGTTTGACTTTAGATGATGTAAGAACAATTGCAAGAACTTTAGAAATGGCTGAAAAGCATTCTCGCGAAATGGAGGGTGCAAATGGTTATGGCAACAACCCATCAAGTAGTCACGGAAGTGTCAATAGAGTCAATCAAAGAAAACCAACACAATATGGACAGAACAAAACGAAAACAAAATCAGGATTAAAATGTTATCGGTGTGGGAGAGAGGGACACTTCGGTAAAGATCTATCTTGCCCAGCACAAGGTAAAACATGCAATAAATGTGGGAAAAGTGGTCATTTTGGAATCGTGTGTAAAACGAAACAAGGAGGGCAACAAAATCAAAGAAGATATGGTAAATATGGTCATAAAAGTGCAAAAGGTATTGTCAACTATGTGGAATCAGATGATGATGAATATGCATTTATTGTGAAACATCAAAGTGATAAAAATGATGAAATTGAAATTAATGCTGGTGGCATAAATATGAAATGTGTAATTGATAGCGGTGCATCAGTAAATATAATTTCAAGTGCATTGTGGGAAAAATTGAAAATTCAGAAAATTGTGTGTAAATCTGAAAAATCAGAAAAGAAATTATATGCTTATGGTAGTGAAACACCACTAGAGGTGTTAGGAAAATTCACATGTAAATTAAATGTCAAAGGTCAATCTGAAAGTGTAGAAGCTGAATTTTATGTTGTTAAAGGAAAAAGTGTATCATTGCTAGGTAAAGCAACAGCTATACAATTAGGTGTTTTGAAATTAGGAATATATTCAATAAATGAAGATATTAGAGGAAAATATAGTGATTGCTTTAAAGGAGTAGGCAAATTGGAAAATTTCAAATTAAAGTTGCACATAAATTCAAAAGTTGAGCCAGTTGCGCAAAGAATGTACAGGATACCGTTCACATTGAGGGAAAAAGTGGATAAAAAACTTGATGAATTAGAATCACAAGACATCATTGAGAGAGTAAATGACCAGACACCGTGGGTCAGTCCAGTTATTGTAGTTCCTAAACCTAATGGCGATATAAGGTTATGTGTTGACATGAGGGCAGCAAACAAGGCGATAGTACGCGAACGGCACCCGATACCAACTGTGGACGAAATATTGTACAAAATGAATGGCGGAGAATGGTTTAGTAAAATGGATTTGCGATATGGATTTCATCAATTGGAGCTTGAAGAAGGTTCACGTGAGATAACGACTTTTGTCACACACAGGGGACTTTACCGTTATAAACGTTTAATGTTCGGGATAAATGCCGCACCTGAGAAATACCAACAAGTTATATCTCAAGTATTTCATGATATTGAAGGTGTCCAGAACATATCAGATGACATTGTTGTATTTGGTCGCACAAAAGAAGAACATGACGAAAGACTTAATCTAGTTTTAGACAGAATCCGTCAGAAAAAGTTGACTCTAAATGGTGACAAATGTGAATTTGCTATGGACAAAAATAACATTTATGGGTCATATCTTATCTAAAAATGGAATAGGACCGACACAAGAAAGGGTAAAGGATATGCTAAACGCAACAGAGCCGACAAATGGATCGGAAGTTAAGAGCTTTTTAGGTTTAGTTAACTATAGTGCAAGGTACATACCTAATCTTGCAACCATATCCGAACCACTTAGAAAATTGACAAAGAAGAATGAGGCCTTCCGATGGGGCAAAGAGCAACAAGAAAGTTTTGAAAAACTAAAATATTCACTCAGTGAAGGAGAAACTCTAGGATACTATAGACTAGATGCAGATAAAACTCAACTAATAACAGACGCAAGTAATGTAGGACTTGGTGCTGTGTTAGTGCAAGAGAATAAAGGAATGTCTCGAGTTATAAGTTATGCTAGTAGGGCGCTGTCTGAAACAGAAAAGAGATATTCAACAACAGAAAAAGAAGGATTAGCCGTTGTTTGGGCTTTTGAAAAGTATCACTTGTATTTGTACGGAATAGATTTTGAAATTATTACAGACCACAAAGCGCTAGAAAGTTTATATAACACAAAATGTATGAAAACTACTCAAAATGCAAGAATCCAACGATGGATGCTGAAACTTATGTCGTATAATTATCAAATAAAATATTTACCCGGAAAACAAAATATTGCAGATGCGCTGTCACGGATGGTGGCAATTAACAAAACTGAATTCAAAGAAAGGAATGTCGCTGAAGAATTTGTAAGATTTTGCGCACAGGAAGGGACACCTAAAGCGTTAACAACCCAAGAGATCGAAAAGGAAGCAAAAGTGGACACAGAATTATCAGAAGTTAGAAATTGTCTTCAACAAGCTAAATGGAACCAGTCTGTTATGAGTGCTTATTACCCCGTAAAGAACGAACTGAGTGTAATAGGATATTTAGTAATGCGTGGAAGAAGAATTGTAATTCCAAAAACACTACAAGCTAAATGCTTGCAATTAGCTCATGAAGGACACTTAGGAATTGTAGGAACTAAACAGATGCTAAGAAGTAAGGTCTGGTGGCCGAACATGGATAAGGATGTAGAGAAATATGTTAAATCATGTCATGGATGTCAGATAACATCTCAATTTTCACATCCAGAACCGCTGGAACCGACAAAGTTGCCTACAGGACCGTGGCAATACTTGGCTATTGATTTGCTAGGGCCGCTACCATCTGGACATTTTGTGTTTGTTGTAATAGACTATTACAGTCGCTATTATGAGATTGACATTACAAAAGACACTTCAAGCGAGAAAATGATAGATTCGCTTGAAAACATGTTTTTGCGTCATGGTTTACCACTGTCTATCCGTTCTGACAATGGACCGCAATTTACGTCAAAACTATTTAAGCAATACTTGGAGGATATTGATGTGAAACATGTTAGAAACACACCATTATACCCAGCCGCGAACGGTGAAGTGGAACGTCAGAATAGATCTTTAATGAAAAGGATAAGGATCGCTCAGGCAGATGCAATGGACTGGAAACGAGAACTAAGAAAGTATATAATGGCGTACAGGACAAAACCGCATAGTGTGACTGGAGTTTCACCGTCTGAACTCTTATTCAAACGTAAGATAAGGACAAAGTTACCCGAACATTATTGCGAAGAAGATGTCACGACACTTGACGAAGAAATGAGAGACAGAGACATGTACGCGAAACACAAGAACAAAATGTACATTGACGAGAAAAGAAACGCACATGAAAGTGACTTGAAAACTGGAGACAGTGTTTTAGTTAAACAACAATATACGAACAAAATGACAACTCCGTTTATTTCAACACCTTACAAACTTGTTGAGAAAATTGGTAATCAATGTGTTGTACAATCACCCGAAGGTGTACAATACCGTCGAAACACGACTCATGTAAAGAAATACAATGATCGAACTGTGTCAAATGAAAAGGACAATGACTGTGTTATGTTAGATGATCCGATCGAAACACCCAAACCGATTTCAGACGAAGCTGGTGATGTAACAAGACGTCCAGTGAGAGAGAGAAAAATGCCATCAAAATTTAATGACTATATTGTTTCATAATTTAGTTACATGTAGGATAGTATGATTTGATATAGACAGTTAAAGTTTTAGATTAGTAGGATTTGATATAGACAGTAAAAGTTTTAGATTAGTGATTGTAAGTTTTGAAAAGATAATAATTCTAATAAGAATTTTCATTTTTGTTTTTTGATATTTTTTAAAGTAGTTATTCTAGTCAGAGATAAAGAATATTCAGTCAGTTTTATTTTCTAGTCAGTTAATAGTTATTTTCATTCTAAAGAAAGAGAAGAGTGTAGTATATTAAGTATTGTCTGATATTCTATAATGATACGTTCTGAGTAGTGCTGTGGCTGTTCTGTACGATCTGTGACTGTATGAAAAGTACCCGTTGGGTACCAGGGATTCTGATTGTAAACGATGCTGAATAAACATGTCTTCTCTAATGTATTTCGTTAAATCGGCCTGATACATATAAAACATGAGCCATCAACACTACAAAGTGCTGTGAATTACTTGCTTTTATCCTCTAATATGTTAAAAGTAGAGGATTGTAATCCCCTGTATTCAGACGTTCGTGGTCATTAAACATTCTTAATATAGGAAATTTAATAACAAACCTTGGTATAATACATTATATGCATGTAAAAGACTAACCATAAAGGCTTCTTGAAATATTAAACAATATTAACAAATCTATTCATAATGACAAGGTTACGTTGGATACTTTTTATGAATATATTTAAAATTAAAATAAGAAGTTGATGGGGATAAAGAACTTAATATTCATTTTGATAAAATTCTTCCAGAGAATATTGAAAATATTCAAAATTCGTCAATTACCAAGGACAAAATTCTGGGTGTTGTGGAAAATATCAAAATCAATAAAGCCTCTTGGTACGATGATATTGTAGACGAACATATTAAAGATTCTGTTCATTTTATGATGCCAATATACTGTAAACTGTTTAATATAATTAAATTTCGTGAAAATACCAAACTCGTGGTCAGAATGTATTAATTATCCTACAAATTTTTAAAAATAAAGGTAACATTATATATGAACTACATCAATGTCTTGTGTGGTAAGATTTTAACTGCTATCTTGAATGAAAGACTTAGCAAATCGTCAGATGAGATAGGATTAATAACAGAATCTCAAAGAGGTTTTAGAAAAGGCTATATCACAACTGATAATATTTTCTCATTGTATTCTTTAATTTCTATCTTCCTGTCACTTGGCAGAACATTACACTAAAATTGAGAATGGAAATGGGGAATGTGTCAAAGAGACAACAACCCGACCACAGAACAGACAACAGCAGAAGGCCACCAACAGGTCTTCAATGCAGCGAGAAATTCCCGCACCCGGAGGCGTCCTTCAGCTGGCCCCTAAACAAATATATATACTAGTTCAGTGATAATGAACGCCATACTAAACTCCAAATTGTACACAAGAAACTAAAATTAAAAATAATACAAGACTAACAAAGGCTAGAGGCTCCTGACTTGGGACAGGCGCAAAAATGCGGCGGGGTTAAACATGTTTATGAGATCTCAACCCTCCCCCTATACCTCTAGCCAATGTAGAAAAGTAAACGCATAACAATACGCACATTAAAATTCAGTTCAAGAGAAGTCCGAGTCTGATGTCAGAAGATGTAACCAAAGAAAATAAACAAAATGACAATAATACATAAATAACAACAGACTACTAGCAGTTAACTGACATGCCAGCTCCAGACTTCAATTAAACTGATTGAAAGATTATGTCTTCATCATATGAATATCAGGCACAATCCTTCCCGTTAGGGGTTTAGTATCATACCATCATAACATATATGAGAAGAACATAACCCGTGTCATGCCAACAACTGGTTTTTAAATAAATGTGTTTAGTGCAGATGCAAAGACCCTATAAGTGAATCAATATCAACGCCAAAATATGCAATCTTTAATGACCTGACAACAGTATCGTAACTATATCCCTTCTTAATAAGTCTATTTAAAGGTTTTGTTAGTTTCAGAGGTGAATACTGACATTTTTGTGCTTTATAAAGAATATTTCCATAAAAAATTGGATGTGAAATACCTGAACGTATAAGAAGTCTGCATGTTGAGCTATATTTACGAATGATGTCCTTATACCGATGATAAAATTTAGTAAATGTTTTGACTAGTTTGTGATATCGAAAACCCTGGTGTAATAATTTTTCAGTAATACATACATTTCTCTCGTTAAAATCTAAAACATTGTTACATACACGAGCGAATCGTACAAGTTGAGATACATAAACACCGTAAGATGGTGACAAGGGAACGTCACCATCTAAAAATGGATAATTAACGATAGGAAATGAAAAATCATCTCTTTTATCATATATTTTAGTATTAAGCTTTCCGTTAATGATATAGATATCAAGATCGAGGAAAGGGCAGTGGTCATTGTTAGTATTAGCTTTATTTAAAGTAAGTTCAACAGGATAAATTTCTTTAGTATACATACTGAAGTCGTCATTATTGAGAGCCAAAATATCATCCAAATATCTAAAAGTATTATTAAATTTGTGTATCAGATGTTGTTTCGATGGGTCTTTACTGATTTTTGTCATAAATTGTAACTCATAGCAATACAAAAAAAGGTCCGCAATAAGTGGTGCACAGTTAGTCCCCATTGGAATTCCGATAACCTGACGATATACTGCATTCTTTAGGTGTGACATAGGAGTAAGACAAAGAGAGAACTTTATTTAAATGACATAGAAGATTTCTTTATTCAAACGATAATTATAGTTTAGAAAAAGTTGAAAGTCTATGTTTTGATAATCTTCGTGTTTATGCCAAAATATTTGCATTGCTTTATGCTGATGAAAACCATAATTCTGGCAGAATCTCCGGAGGTATTTACAAAACGCTTTGGATAGTTTTGAAGCCTAATGTACGAAATTGAATTTGAAAGTGAACTTAAATAAAACGAAAATTCTTATTTTTTGTAAGAGAAAATCCAAACATC